CCCCCCCCAAAAAAAAAAAAACTATTTTTAATGGACATCAAACAAAGGCTACCTTATAAGTCGATTTAAAATTTAAACTCAAGATATATTCCCCTCAGTATCATTAAGGGTGTGTTTGATTACATTTTATTTTCCATGGAAAATATCAATTTTCCACCCAAATTTCTATTTGGAGTGTTTGATTACTATTTTTTTCCATGGAAAATATTTTTTAACTTTTAAAAATATGCCTAATTTTCCTTGATTTTAAGGAAAATATTTTGCTTGGGTGGAGGTGGTTTACATTTTCCTCAAAACAAGGAAAATATTTTCTTTTCTAAGTTATATATTTCATGTCAATCAAACACACTCTAATTTTTTATATCTCAATAAATTATCCGCCAATAATATATATATATATATATATATAGTTATTTACGAATCAAAGATGACAATAAGAATTATTATAACAACAACTTTGTACAAAATGATACTACTATTTGTGAAATTAATAAATAATTGGGTTTTTAAACATATTATATACTGGAAAAAGTTTCACATAAGTTAACACACTTTTCACGTGCAACTCACATGTCCGACTTAAATGTTCTAAATGACATAAACCCATTTTTGAAAACTAACCGCGCTAATTAAGAAAATAACGAATGATATCACAAAATCTAAGAAAATTGTCGTGACAAAAAATATATTGGTAACCCATCTTCCTCAGTAAATAATTAATGAATGATAAAAATTGTACATCACATCAATCTTCAGAAGTCATACTTCTCTATGCTACACTTCATTTTAAATTTTAAGACACTTGTGTACATCACATACAGACAACCAAAAAATCATGAAGATAACACAATAGGTAGAGTCTCAACAGAATTTCGCCGTCACCCCTCTTTTTTCTTTCTCACAATCATCACTTCAAAGATGTAAAAAAGCGGATTGTATCCTTGAGGCCCCCAGATGAAGTCATCGACATCCTCTTTCGCGTTGTAGAAGTGGAGGCTTGCATACGAACTTGCGTTGATTCCTAGATAACGGTGGAGAGGTTGAGCACAGTGGTGGCCGGATCTAATAGCCATATTATGCTGCAAGGTTAAGAATAAGAATGTCCAATTTTTAAAGGTTTAAGGACTAAGTTGCTACAACCACAATAGGTTGGGGGCTTGTGCTGCAATTTTCTCTAAACCTCCACCTTCCTGAACCTGAAGTTGCTAAATAGTAACTGTTGACATATGGTCGACTTAATCCTCAATGTTTTGATCATAACAAACAAGATTATTTTTATTTCTAACAAATTCATTTTAGTAATGATAGTTCAATGTTCAAATTAATTATGTATTATCAGACTTCAAATGAAGATCAAAATAGAAGCCATGTATTCAAGTCAAATCATTCGAGACAAAAAGTTCAAGAGATATATGTTAAAAAATATCAAGATTAAGAGTATGAGAGATGACATCAATGAAAGATCAAGACGAGGCATACTTCGGAGTAAAGACTTGATTTCTTAGGAAAAATGTAAAGGTACTAATACTTTGATATTTGGCAAAAAGTAGTTAAGCTCAAAATCTTACTATGTATTAAAAATAATTTTTGTGCACTAAGATAATTCGAATGCAACCTTTTTGATCAAACATGAAAATAACTTTTAAAAATAATATATGAATTTTAAAGATATTTTTATTATGAAAATTTAGTTAAAAATATTCTCCAAAAGTCCATACACTTCAAAACTTTCAAATCGAAATAAACGAGGCCAAAACGTGAAAAGACCGCACTACCGGTGCGGTCAACTGCCCAGAGAGGCGGTCGACCGGACCGATCGACCGGCCATGAGAGGCGATCGATCGGACTCCTCCAACGGTCCGAAATTTGACCGTTCTGACTTCTGATTTTTACTGTACAAACGGCTATATTGGTCTTCTGGATAAGAGGCGGTCGATCGGACGAGTCATCTGCAAATTCAGATTTTTTTAACGTTTTGGACTCTATAAATACCCCAACCTCTTGCATTAATAATTATCACTTCCAAGAGCATTAAATTGAGATACTTCAAACTTTCACTCTTTACTCCTTATTTATCTTTATCAATTCATTCACTTTTGAAAAACTTTTGATTGAGTTTACTTTTGAAAGTCATTGATCAAAGATTTGTCAAACCTAACACTTAAACTTTACTTATTGTCATTCATTAAAGTGTTAGCTTATCTCTCTCCATTATACTCAACTTTGAATATATCTTTATTGTGGGAGAAGATTCCTTTTTGTAAAACTTACTTTTGATTGAATTGTGGGTCGTGTTGAAGTCCCGTAAAGTTCAACGATTGTAAAAAGATCGGTGCTCCTTGCTTGTAAGTCACTGAAAGCGTTGTAAGAGTTGGATTGCACCATAAGTCAATCAATAGCGAAAAAGGTCTTGCTCGTGATGGAGAGCTTGGTAACAGGGGACGTAGATCGTGATAGCATCGAACCTCCTTATTACATTGTTCTTGGGCTAACTTCTCCTATTCCTTTATCATAACATTTGAAGAATGAAGAACGAAAAAGTGCCAAATCAGCTAGCCAAGAAGGATATATATGTACCTGTTGGTCAAGAAAGGTTGCAAGATCCGTAGGGTGAATTTCTTCCACATTGAAATAACAAAACCACAGTTTGTGAAGGTGTCAGGCCATCATTGGGTACTGATTGCATACTATCATACAAATAGTTAGCCAACTCTAGCTGCAAAATTGAAAGATGATGAAAGAGGAACTGGTCCTTGTACGCACATGTAGAGAGAGCACGACAGGTAGAAAGAACATATTGAAGTGAAAAGAAGGGTAGAATAGCATAAAAAGAGATCAATGGAAAATCCATATATCAATAATTAAGAAAGTGTTTTGACCCTAAATATTGAAACCACGAATGACACTTCAACCTAATGGATGCAGACAGAATAAGGAAAGTATAAAGGATGAAATAATGCCTAAAAGAGTACTGCACAAGACAGAAAATAGTCCCTTTTGAACAAATTTTAACCAAGTTCGAATCATGTAGCACCTCATAATCATGATTTTTTTTTGCATTCCAATGCCTGATAAATAAATACCAGTCGTAGATCAGAATTCATGGCAACAAGTAGCTCAGCAAAAGGGCATGAGATAATATCAAACAATTAATCAGAGACCGACTTACCCATCATTTTACTTTTAGTATAACCCTAATGATTAATGCCAAAATGCAAAGCATACCATGAACATGGTTAATACACAGAAAACTATTGAACAGTATTATCTACAAAAAATTAAAGCTGATAATAAATCAAGGAGTGGACTGATTTTCAAATATCTAGCCAATTGAACATAAATGTCGAAGATTTCTTACATAATAATGTTTGCATTTTGCAAGATGTCCAAAGATCGGCGTTACTGGAAGGTAAGAAATCATGCTGTATGCCCATTTCAAGGTTAGAAAGGGACACAATTCTTAAATATTCCTGCTGCTAATTTCTTTAATTTCATGAATTCACAGATGATTTCATGTGATTGTGCTCTGTTATAGAAACTAATGGGCAAGCAATAAAACAGAACTTCATTTATAATGAAATATAGGGTAATCCTTACATTTTATTTTTTTTTTGGCATTTTTATCCAATTTTTCAATAAAAAAATGTGAAATGACAAATATATCCTCCTATTTAAATAAAATAAAATAAAAAATTAAAGAACAAATTGCCATTATACCTTCAATTTTTTAAAAAAAATTGCAAATGAATCCAAATAAATTATTAAACAAGAAATTAGTATAAAACATTTCTACCTTTCAATATTATTTTGCAAAATCATATATGACTTTCATTTTTTAGCATTTTCACCTCTATTTTCACATTATATTGCAAAAATTGTCATTTTCATCAATTTTCTCAATTAAACGCTATAAAATAACGAATATACCTTCCTATTTAAATAAAAAAAATAAAGAAAAAGATTGTAGCTATGCTCCAAAATTTTTCAAAAAAGTACAAAATAAATTTCAAATAAATAATAAAAAAAGAAAGCAAATTTTTTTATTTTATTGTTTTTACTTAAAAAAAGAAAGCGAACTGACTGTTCCCAGTCTACAGTTAGTCCATGCAGATGAATTTTTTTTTTTTTTCATTTTTGCTTAAAGAACTTATAGATTTGTTTAAGATTGTAAAATTTATCTGCTTACGTAAAAATATGATTTAAAGATTAAAATAATTTACTAATTCTACAAAAACGAAATTAAAAATACGTAAATATGCTTACCGATTCTAAATGATGGCTAGAAACAATTTTTTTTTGTTGAGCATTCAATAAATTTATGGGATTTCAAGGTTGAAACAAATAAAAAATGAAACAATTTTTATCTGTGTTAAAGTAAACAGACAAAGAAAGTGGCTTCGTTTTAAAATTATGAGTGGAAAATGTTTGAAATTCTTTGTAATTTAAAAGTATATTATTGTCTTCTAAAACAAGGGATAATTGCAACAGAGGTTACAAACCTTTCAAACGTTAGCAGACTTTTTTCAAACTTTTGATTTATTGCAACTATCACCGCTAACCTTTTTAAATGTTGCAAGTGAGACTCCAATAGATAGAATCCAATTTCCAATTAGTTAACTAAAAAATTATGTTTGACCATATTTTTAATATTTTTATAAAAGGGCAAAATGATAACTTTTTATTTACCAAATTAAATAATAACATAATAAATTAATTAAATTAAAAAATGAAAAAAAGGGGGGGAAAAAACCAGTATCTTCTTCCTCCAATCACTTCCCCAACCTACCCAGCCCCAATCCCAACCACCGTAGGTGTCGCTAGGGGTTGTCGAAGCCTTGTCCTTGGAAGCACTGGAAGAGGGCTGTAGCATCCTCGTATCGCTTCGCACGATACATGGCAATGATGATGGCATTGCAAGTAAAGACCATAGGGTGGATTGATTGGAAGACGAACTGGCGGGCGACATAGGACGCGGGGTCGAGGTCAAGGTCTCCATCTCGGATGAGCGATTGGACACGGTTGTAGAGATTAAAATAGGGGCTAACATGAGCAAAGCTGAAGTCCAGGAGTTGAGGCTTGTCAGGGTTATTGATGTGAGATAAGTGGGAAGCGGGGTAAGGGCGAAGGGCATAGAAAGGGAGCTCAATGCAGAGGCGACGCTTCCATCATCGATGTTCAGCCGTCACTTCCTCAATGAATGAGAAGCTATAGGGGTGATATGGAGTGTATGGAGTAGGAGGAGGATGAAGGTTGTGACTTAAAGGTCTGGTGGCAGTGATAAAGCTAAAGTTGGGAGATTGGGAGCCATGTTGTGTGTTGGGAATTAAAGTTAGGGTTAAGGACTTCGACAGCTGCGACAACTGAGGAGGTGGCGAAAAATGAGTGTTCAGAAATGATTGCATAGGGCTGGACCGGGGTAGGTTGGGGAAGAAGATACTGGTTTTAACCCCCCCCGTTCCCCTCTTTTTCAGTTTTTAAATTAATTAATTATGTAATCATTTAATTTGGTAAATAGGAAGTTACTATTTTGCCTTCGTGAAAAATCAAACTCAATTTTTTGGTCAAATAACGGTAAATTGAATGTTTTCCATCCATTGAGGCCTTACCTGTAATATTTGAAAAAGGTTAGAGATAGCGGTTGCAACAAATCAAATATTTTGAGAAAGTCTGCTAGTATTTAAAAGGTTTGGTGTTTTTGCTGCGATTATCCTTTAAAGCAATACCATAGTTTTGTTGTTGTAAGGGTAATTTTGTTTTTTCCGCATGAAAAGACCATTGTGGTGAATGGTAAAAATTTTTTTGATCAAAGTGAAAAATGACAATATTGACATGGTCATTTTAAAAAGTACTCCTTATCATTGATCCTTCTATTTTACCTTTTCTTTTTGAAGAAGAGTAATTTTTAATAATTTTACTTAATTAAAAAAAAATTTATTGCTTATTTTTTTTAATAGTTGAAAAAATAATTGTTAAATTAGCCCCTATTCAATGAGACTTAAATTTTTGCTAAAAATCAAATTTAAAATTAAAATCAAAAATTAATTTTAATTACAGATCATCGAGCTCACAATTTTTATCAATTTTTCAATCACATTTTCCCGTTTGATCCCCATTCTTATTCTTTTTTCTCTCTTATTTCCAACTACATAATCTTACATAAAATAATATTATATTCAAATAAAGAACTTTTAATTTTTTTTCAACCACACATTTTTCAAAAAAACACTATTCCAATCATTAAAATTTGAAAAGAATGAAAGCCAAACGGAGACTTATTAACTTTTATCAAAATCTTCTAAAATTAACTTTTACCTACATCACACAAGGCCTATGCACCCTCTGGAGTTGAATTCTAAATCCGTCATTTACTATTAATTTACAAAAACACGAGTACTTAAATGTTTTTATCGTCTATGCGCATTATTGGAGTCTGCTTTTAAGGCTAGATTGTAAATCTCATTTAAGACTCTGCGAAAACACTGTAATGGCAAAACAAAACTTGTGCGATAACGTATAAATAGGGGAAAAAACCCAACAAATTATTGCAAACATGACAAAGTACACAAACCCAAATGCCACAAGACAAGAATAAAAATGTAACATGTGGCGCACTTAGGCATCCAACAAATAATGAAATGCAACATAAAAACATGGCTGCTCACTAATCCAATGTATTAATCAAGTCCTTAAAATTGAACACCAGCCAATCAGCTTTAGCTGCAACACTCTCTCGAAGTTGGACTCCCCCGTAGCAGATAAACAAATCAGCACCTCCCGGCTGACGAGCCTAGGATAAGAAAAAGAGAACAATGTTTCTGTTAGTGCAAAACTCTGTCATATCCGACGAAAATAACAATGGCCGGCCAAAATCTGACAAAAGGGCCCATTTGGCAGGCTTCTGGAAGAACTTTCAAGAAAGCTACCTTAATTGGTGTTTGAAAACTAATTTCTTGAAGAGCTTCCTCTTCCAAAAATGTTTTTGGAAGAAGCCATGTGACTTTAAAAGTTTATCTGATTAGAAGTACTTTTAGTCTTCTATAATATTAATCAAATGGGTACAAAAGCAATGGGTCTCAAAACTTCTTTTAGCTTTTCAAAGATGTGCCAAACGGGCCCAAAAAGAAGCCGAATGTTGTCTCTCACCTCAAGATCAGTTGCACCATCTCCAATCATGACCACACACTTGTATCCTTGAGCCTGGAAAAATGAAACAATAAGCTAAAGTTTATACATTTGGGACATATCTTGTGGAATGAGGATAAAACAAGCAGACATTTAACTTACCTTCCTTATCAGTTGAACTGCGGTTGCTTTCCCTCCGCTTCTTGAGGTTGGCTCCTTAATATCAAACCCCAAGAACTCCCCAGAGCTTCCAAATAAAAGCTGATTGGCATATATGTTTTCGAGTGGTATACCAAGGATTGCTGCCACGGGCTACAAATAATTATTCAAAATTATTAGCTCCAATTATGAACTGCATGTACAATATATATCATCCATAAACGACTCTATAAATTGTACGCATCTCCTCCATCATTCTGGCATGATTTACAAATATTAATATGATAAGAAGTATAGTTTTAAAAAGTTCTTCACTGCATAATACTACGTCATGGTTTGCAATTCCTCAAAATGGTGTTTGGCTAAGCTTTAAAAAAATAAAATAAAGGTAACTTTTTAATCCATGATCTAATATTATGCACACACTTTAATTGATGATCTAGAAAGTGAGAATGCAGCAATAACAACTGCGTGGAGAGAAGTAATTCCTGTAATAAAAAGGATTTTAAATCTATTGCTGAACGACATTATATGCCAATAAGTTTCTTAAAATCTTCAAACCAATATCAGCAAGATATTGCAGTGTAAAAGAAAATACGAAAAAATTGCCTAATACGATTTCCCGGAGCACAAAATAGACAATTAATCTCAAATAAGTTGCCCATTCCAAAGTAAAGCAACATACGTTTATCATTTGACGAAAGCCTCCAGAGATCAAATACACATCTGTATTCTTGTCCTTCAACTTCTTAACCAATGTGTCAATTCCAGAAGAAATTCTGCATAATGAAAGAAAATAAGACAACCATGTACACAAAAACAAAGTAAATAGTACACAGGATTACACGTGCCGATCATTCCCTATAAGAGGGGAGAGTAAGGAGCCACAGGATATCAAAAGACGTTTCTTAGCAAATTAGTTAAAATCTACATTATGATTTTCTACATTTACATACATTTCTAAACACGGCTTGAAATCAATGTTATCAAAATCGGCCTGGCCCACTCAACTCGAGAATGGGCTCCAGATCCGAACTAGCTAGATAGGAAAAACCTTATATTAAAAAAATCAGCCAAAAAACTGGCAACCCAACCGATTTACAAAGACCCATTGAACCGGTCCCGATTTGGCCGGCTTTAAAGGATAAATTTTAGTATAAAAAATTATTTATTCAACTCACTTAATGGCCCGATTCAACAAATTTATAGACTTTCTCATCTCTCATGCTTGTTGATTTCTCCGATGTGTAATAGCTTACAATTACCAATTAGTTAAGGAAGACATTAAAATGCCCTATGTAGACCCACTCTGCTATAATTTACAAATTTTAATAAAATTAATATATCTACAAAATAAGTATTAAAGTATAGTATTTTAGTTTTTATATCTTAATGGTAAATTTTAGTATTTTATATACTCTCAAATATATTTTTGTACTTATTTATCTAATGATTATTAAAAAATAACAAGTATAAAATAATTATATCTAAAAAATAAGTAAAATATTTCACATTCTACATGGTCATATATATATTTTTGTATTTATTCAATAATATCTTACCACCGTCGATTCCAATTGAACCTCTTTGACCCTCGACCTTCGACTTTTCGGGTCAATGACTAGACCGGATTTTAAAACATTGCTTGAAAAGAATTTCAAATATGATTTTCACCTCAGTATTTAAAATCTGACTCGCTTTCATTTGACAGTAATAATTCGCATATTAGATTATAGCTTTTTCTTAGAAAATATTCTTTTCCATCTGGTTCTCATTTTTAAACAGTCGGGGAAGGATGGGCCAAGAACAAGGATTTCAGCACAAGTGAAATCCTAACGTGGTGTGGAAGAAGAATTGAAATTCTTGAAAACGAGAAAAATTAGAGAACTCAAAAGTTTGCAAAAATAATTTGATTATGACCAAAGCAACTAAAATCCTAAAAGTAATCATAGAAACAATCCTATTCTAATAAATTTCACACAAGTTGATGACTATTTTTTTATCCATCATTTAAATATTTGTCTTCCATGCATTCAAACAGATACTAAAGGAATACAACATATCTCATTCGCCAGGAATTTTATTGATAATGTCCTTCAAAATCTTGACAAAGAAGGTGATATTTGATTATATGCTGATATTTCTTGTCCAAATTACCCTCAGGATGTTTCCAAAACAAAACAATAAATGGCCAAAAACATGTTTTGTTACCAAAAAAAGATTTGTACCTTGGAGGCCTCTTCTCAAGGAAATCTTGCACCTGGGAGAGCGAAGGGTTGAATAGAGATAATCTGGCAGCCAGAGCTTCCTCAAAAGGAATGGAGCCACTCATTGCCCTAGCAAAGACAACACACTAATATTAAATAAAAATTCTTAGCAACAAGAACAACCATATAATTGTACCAAACAAAATATCAATAGACCTAGCAGTCCACTCTGCAACTGCCTTTCCAGCTCCACAATACTCTGCAAGTTCATCAATGCCCTCATCCAAGCACACTGTACTATCCACATCAAAGCATACAGCATCGGCATTTCTCCATATCTCAAGGACATCTTACAAAATTAAAGAAACATCCTATCAGCAACACAAGTATGGTAGAAATCCACAGTAATAAATTTTACACCAAATTATTCCAGATCTGAACACTAGTAATTATTCCAGATCTGAACACCACATCAAACTTAATCATACTGATCTAAGTCTATGACACATTAAAATCCAAAATCAAACCTAATAGTTGCAAGAGCGTTATATAATGCCCTTATCTGTCATAGCTGTAAAAGCACCTCCTACAAAAGGGTTACTGAAAATTTGGATAAATTATAGATGGCATTGCGTTTTTAACCTTTGGATGGTAATGTGTTGTCAAAACAGTCCACTGCTGATGCCTCTAGTGGCTGTACTGAACCAGCTATTGAATTGAATGATTTGGGATTATTCATGATTCCAACTGGGCCAACAAACACCCTCTTCGTAACTCTTGGACTGAATGTAGGAACAAAATTAGAGTTTTGCTGCTTGCAATGACAAGAAAGCATTGGGCTGATCTTTACCCGAGCACTCATCAACAGCTCCATTGAAATTAACAAAGAGAGAGAACTTGAAGACTTGTTATAGGCTCAGAAAGTAATCAAAAAGCCTGAAGTTCTTGACTCCAACAGAATGGTTTTATCTGTTTATCATATCATGATGACAGTCAAGCTAACACTGGTGAGTGATCAAATATTTCCTCAAAAAGTATAATAAATAAGACTAATGGATTATTTTTGGTGTACATAAATTTTTGTACATTAAGGTATCCATACACTCACATTTAGTGGGGTCCACTCAAATAAAATATGCGAGTGAGCCCCATCCTATGTGAGTGTAGGATACCTTGATGTACAAAAAATTATGTACACCAAGTAAAGCCCAAGACTAATACCCATCAGCGAAAAAGTTAGATTTACAGTGAACAAAAGCAACTGTAGCTACAATCTTAGATCATTATATACAACACATATGGAAGTGGATAGAATTTCCAATTATATGACACAGAATTATGCGATTTGAGCGAATATCCAGTTATAGCAGGAAATTGACATATAATATGAGCATTAAGTATACGAGCAAGTAGTGCTCTTCAGAATAAGAAAACCACCAAAACGCACAATATAATGGTAAATACATCCCCTCCAAGTTGCAGGGAAAAATATAAACTGAAAATAAAGCAATCATGTAAAAAAGAAGTAGTGATCAAGGATCAAAATGAAGCAAGTTGATTGAAGCAAGTGTAACATGAATGTACATTTTAACACAATCCAAATGAGCTGGAATTTAATCAAAATCCTACAACCGAAAATTAGAAGAACTTGTCTGGTTTCATTCATAGATTTTGATTAACATTCCCGCAAGTAAAATGATAAAAATGTGAATCATGTCAAACAGAAACACCTACCCTAAGTTATGTTCATTATATTATCCTATGACCCTTCTTCTCTACTTTTCTCTTATGAAACTTATCTCAATTTAAGTGATTAATTGAAATTGATGCGGTTGAGGCCAAAAACGTTGTGAAGAGTGACGAGAATGACATTCAAGAAAAATATTGAAAAAGCTGATCAAGAATATTCAAAGAACGCTGATGATTTTAAGGGTTCTTCCACAAAGGCTATATTTTCTCTTCAGGTTTCCGGGAAATCTTACTCTCTTTGAATCCAAGTTTCCAACTTTTTCATCATGCCTGTGAATTTAGTATGATTCCGCAAGAGATTGTACACATGTTCTTAATACTAATCAATAATAAAAGGATAAATTTGGATGATCATGGGGGAAAATTATTCGAATATTAGTAAATCTCAATCCTTGCCAAACAACACATATTGAAGAACTAACCATATTTGTAGAAATGAAACAAAAATGACACACACAAAAAAAAAAAAAAAAAAACTCACAAAGTTCCTATTTCGTATGTAGGTATGTTTCCTTTCTGTATAGATCTCTTCCTGCCACCCTCTGTTCTACGCTGTGAAAATCTCCTCACGCCTATAGTATTACCATCCGATCTGGTTCTCTTCTACATGAGAAAAACTGCATTTTTTATTCGAAGCAAAAGAAACATATCCGACATCAATAAATAAATTATAGAAAGTTAATGAACAAAAACTACCTAATTAAAAACAAAGCAAGGAAAAGTGCTAACTTGAACTTCAGATTTTCGCGTGATTGAAAGCAAAAATTCGCTGTAGAAAGAAATCGGACCTCAAATTTGTGAAGTGCTTTCACACACAGATGTTCTGTGTTCACCAACCATAATATCAGAATTATATTTTGGATTTTATGGAAATTTACAAAACAAACCATAATGAAATAAATTTGCAAATTGTAAATAGACCCTGTATTGTAAGTTTTTAAATGCACAATTAACAACAGAAAAAATTACACTATTGGTCTCTAACCTATTGTGTTAGTCACAAGTTGGTCTCTAACCTATTGTACATTATTTTTTAACCATCAATCACAAGTGACCAACTATTCATATCTTCACTCTCAATAATTTTTGGACATTAGTGAAAATAAAAAAGTGAAATTTAGCCTAATAAAATTAAATTCGCCAAGTGCTTTGACGCAGAGGGCCCTGAGAAGTGTAGCAATCCTATAGCAGATCCTTTAGTAGGTGATGGGGCAAAGAGTTCTATGATCCCTCTTGGCAATAGTTTCTTATGTTCTGCCTTAATGAGTGGGGGAGGTAGCTAAATTAGGATATCACTACAGGCAAGTACTGTGCAGGAAATTTAGATCCTGCTATACTAAATTCTCTCATGTTTCATCCGTTATCTCATCAGAATCGTCTCCGGCATTATTTCTATGCATTCTTAGTAACTATATTTTTGTTTATTTTTTGTAGTTCGAGTTACATAAAAAAGAATTGGGTTATCTTCATTCTACTTATTAGACTTGGTTTAGGTATGAATCTTGATCTCATGTGGGCTTTGGGGGATTTAGTTGGTGGAGACGTCAACAACGCTGATTTATTGAGATGACATTAATTTGGATCTCAGTCTAGCGCCACCAATGATGGATAAGCAGGCAACTCCCCTAGTAGTAGGGATATAGGTGTACTTTTATCCAACAATTTATTAACCTACGAATCAGCTATTACGCAACTCAACCTTCTCCGCACTAAGCGGAGGGCATTCTGAAAGAGTAGCAGAATTCTAGAGGTATTTAGCTAAGTTCAAAGTTTTTACCTTAAAGAGTACCAATAAAGCGTGGGGCATTTTGCCCGAGTTAAAGACTTGCCTTTCTTTCTGTCCTCGCTCTTTTCTCTTGCCCTACCGATCTATGCTACCTCGTTTGGTACTATCTTTCTCGATGCGTGCTTTTCTACAGGGAGCACCCCAACCAGCAGCTTAAGAAGGAATTCCGGTGCCAATTTCATACCCTTTACCATAAAAAGGTAGTGCCCCCCACCTTCCGGTCTACCAATTATAGATCAATGGCTTACACCCCATCCACGAACTTTGGCTCTTTAAGTGATGACAAGGATGTTGGGTCAACTCTTGACTCGAATCCTTCCTCAACTTTGATGCCCACATAAAAGAAGGAAAGAGAAGTGAGTCAAATTGGGGGCTAGGAATCAACTACCGAGAACAAAGATTCAATGAATTTTCACTTGTTGAACTTGAATTACATGAATCTAGAGTTATTATAGATCAATTTATTCATATTCATGTATGTAGAAATTTTAATGGGAATTTAAATTTATTTATTAACAATTAATTTTTATGTATCAAATGTAATATAAAAACGCTGCTCATTCAAAGATGCCACTTCAAATTTGAATGAAGAAATAGTCCAAAATATTGTTTCCAGATATCTCAATTGGGCTGACTTGCTTATCGATCTTCCCCACTCTTTTTCTCCGTTCTGTAGTAATAGAATCTTAGGTTGAGCTGAACTCATTCAAATGAGCAACATTTTTATATTACATTTGATACATAAAAATTAATTGTTAATAAATAAATTTAAACACCCATTAAAATTTCTAGATACATGAATATGAATAAATTCATCTATAATAACTCTAAATTCATGTAATTCAAGTTCAACAAGTGAAAATCCATTAACTCTAAATTAATGTGAATGTTAATTAATTGAGAATTAATAACATAAATTTTCATAAATGACAATAACGATTAACAAAAAACTACAAAACATTTGGGAGTGCATCGCTTCACAATTTGGAGGTAAATAATCTATAAATTATTAAAAAAAAATGCAAAGTTACCTAAAATAATTATGGCAATTTCAAAACGGCAATCCACAATATAATGGAAAACAGGTTTGACCGGACTAGAGGCAAGTTAGGGGATGCTTAAAACATGGAAACTAGTAATTTGAGGAAAAAGCCACAAGGCAATCTGGAAATATCTTTTGTAGGTTGACAAGAATTCTAGTGATGAGGTCATGAAAAAATGATTGTGGTTTGAAGAGGCAGCCTCACATCCAATTAGCGCAAGTAATTAAATTATGGCACTGGACAGCACAAGAAAATACCACTCTGGCTGACAAATATGAACTTGCTAATTTGTTCTAAATTCATCAAAAATTGACAGTGGACATATTCACAAGGACAACAATTGAACTCCCATAGAATAGACAAGCATGATTGAATCTAATTCCACAGAACAAACAAACTTTGAATGTGAGGGGTTGAATATAAGTTCCACAGTACAAACGTCCTGTCTGTGAAGGGTCGAGTATCAACAAAATATCATAAAAGAACAAGAAGCTCGGTAGCAAGACACCACAATTGGCGAATATCCATTCAGAAATATAGGAAAAAAATTCGTATTGTTCATTCCGTTCACAGCGTTCTCAAGAAAGTTGCCTTTCTTTTTCTAAAGGTTTTTCAATGCTACAAATAAAGCAAAATGAGCCACTTCCATTCGCAACGGCTACACAGTGAAAACTAATTCCACTCAACTAAAAATTTTTACTTCAAATTTCCCTCTTGCAATATGCATTAACACATAATAGCACGAACACGCTATTATTATGTAGCCCATCTAATCATATTTCATATCTTCGAAGCAAATCAACAAATCGAACCAGTTATCAGGAAAAAAAAGAAGAAGAGGAAATAGGTTATATAACGGTGGAAGAAAGCATAAGAAGGTTAAAATTACCATTGTTGAGGCGGAGAGCGAACGATTAAGTATAAACAGAAATCCGCAAAATGCCCTGCTGGAAACCCTAGCTTTAGAAAGCTGCTGTTATTTTGGGAAGGCTGCTTTTCAAGTTTTTGTTCAAGGATAAAGATGTGCGTACATGGAAGGGGTTACCAAATGATTTACACCTTCAGACAGCCATGCGGATCCCATCTGTTATTAAATAATTCGAGTTGTGATCCCCATTTTATATTAAATAATTCGAGTTGTGATCCCCATTTTATATTGTGAGTAGTGTGTAAAAGATTGTGTACATGTAGTATGATCCTTGTTCAAAAGCCTCCAATTTTTTGAAAATAATATAAAATATAAATACTTAAAAAGACAATTATAACCTTTCAATTTCTCCCCAAACAGAAAAAAAGACCCAATTCGTTTCCAAATTAGAGTTCTCAAGAATCAAAACTCTCTGTCTTTTTCGATTTCTAAGGTTCGCCCATCGATCTCTTTCTATCTCCATTTTTTGAACCTTGAAACTCGTCGGACCACCTTCAGGTAATGTCTTTCGCGCGACTGAATTTGTATTGTGTTTGTTACTTCACCCCCGATTTTGTAGTAGAAGTTTGTTTCCCTACCCCCTTCTCAGATTTAGGAAGCCACATAATATATGAAGAACTCTTCTGTATTATTTATGGAAGGGTCTTTACGGTACCTATAGCCAAAACTTTTGAGCGACTTATCTACATTATGATAGTTTTATGGCATAAAATTGACAATATTGGTCTCAGGTGTGCTTGTATAGGTTACGTTTTGATTTCCTCTTTTTCTAAAAGAGAAAAGTCATAATATTTTGTCAAAAGAAAAAACGATGGTTCTATTTCTCACTGTTTTAATGTTTCTTTTCATCTACGTTATTATGATTCACCTAAACACCTGGCAATAAGTACTTTATAATTTATATGCTGATTGGATTAAAAGTCTCACATATTTGATTTCCTATTGGTAGATTCGCTTATGCATTTGCTTGCTACATACTAATAATATAGTTTCTTGAAAAATTTAATGGTGATGATTGCTACATATCTGTGATTTGTAAGGCTAAAGCTAACTGTTTCTTTCTTGCATATGAAAAGTTTGAGCTTCTCAATTTCAGTTTTGTTTTGATAGTTTAAAGTTTGATTTGTTTCCAGTCTCTGCTTGTAGAAGAGATCATTCTTGATTCTTTAATAGTATCGTCCATGAACTCTTTTACGAGTTTTGGATTAATGGTTATTTTATTTTCATCATTCTTTGGTTTCTTTTTCTTGTTTGGGTTATTGGTCATTCCTTCGACATCTAACTCTTTTTTTTAAGTCAAAAGTTATCTCTTGTCATTCTCCTTCAAAATGCATTGAGTTCTTCTCAGTCTTCCAGGAAAGATCGAATAATTTCTAGAAAGTTTACCAAATGTTTAAAAGAAAAAATGACTTCTTTATGTTAGGTTTAAATGATTTAGAAAATGAAAAATGCTGAATTTGTAAACAAATTACTATACTAAGGTGAGGCATTTAACTATGAAGCCACCGCGTGCACAATTTATAATACATTGTACTTACAAGTTCTCTAAAGCACATCAGGTAAGAATGCCTAGTAAGTGAATATCAAATACAATATACTTTCTTGTTAGCAATGTAATACCTACTATTAAATTTTATATTCAGCAAAAAAAATTCTACTACAGGAAAAACTAGAAGAACAAGGTAACTTGTTTTAATATTTCTAGTTTTCATATTAGTAAAGTTGATGCTACGATTACGACGAGATGCAGATTGCAAATAGTGCGAGATGTGTATGAGAAGCTCGGTACAAATTACAAAAACAAGTGCGGGACTGGCCGGCGACAATGTTGTCGCCGGCGCCGGGCAGACGGCAGCGGCGTTGGCCGCTGCCCATGGGTGGGCAGCGCCCTGCAATAGCAGCGCCTGCTGCCGGGCAATGAACTGGAAGGGGCGGCACCGGTCGCCGCCCCATGAAACCAAAAAAAAAAAAAAAAAAAAAAAAAAATTTAGGGTTTTTAAAAAAAGGGGGGGGGGGGGGAGGGGGGTAACGAAAGGAGATGCTTACAATGCATTTGTAAATTGCAAGAAAAAAAGAGCGATAAGCATAAGTTAGGATTGATTGTAATCTTGCCGTACGTCCTATGGGCCACGGAGGAGAATACATACATCTATTTATGGTGGCTAGACTTGGTGGACGATCTAGATAGGTTTGAGATGTATCCATGGGGAAGGTTTTCATTTGAATACGCGATCAGTATATTCAAACGTGAAATGGGAGATAAATTGAAAAGTTCGGACGTCGGAGGCGAATCACTTTGTCGATATTCATTGTACGGCTTTCCCCTCATTATAATGGTATGAACAAACAATACACTTGACTTGTATTTTTTTGTATATATAAATTTGTGTGGTGAGATAATATAAATGTTTGTTTTGCAATAGATTTGGGCATTCGAAGCGATCCCAACTTTGGGAATGAAGTTTGTTACGAAATATCCATATGTAATACCAAGAATGATCGCTTGGGAAATGTCGAAGAGGTTAACGTCTATTGCCATTGATAACGTGTTGAATTCAAATGAGGTAAAATTGTCTTTTTAAAGTTTAATGGGAACAAATTGTGGAATTAGCTTCATGAATGACTAATGACTTGCACCTTTAATATTTGCAGTTGGAGGTTAATTTCACATTGATTTCCACCGAAGTTGAAATCGAAGAGGCCTATTAGAAAGAGTTAAAACCAATCGTGGAAGAAGATGAGAGTGTTTCACATCATTCCGACGGAGACGAGGCTGAGCATGATGCCGAGCCACAGCATGCATACCACGAAGAGTCTCCTAGAGCAGCTCAACCACCACGGCGTGGTTTTGAGATCAACAAACTGGATTTATTGAGAACAGAAATTGAAAAACTTGAAGGAAGGCTACAAGCAGTCATATCGACTCGACTTGATTGGGTGGAGAAAAAGATTGACAGGTTAATTGAATTGGCTGTGGCAGGTCGGTTCCATCCAGTGACTAGTGCATTTGATGGTACCACTACTAGCACAGCTTATGTACCTAAAAATGAACTGAAGGATGGGTTGGAAAAGAAGGCTGAGTTTGATGATGTGACAGATGTGCATGCTGCAGAAAGAAATGTAGATCTGACTGAAGAGGATTCAAAGTTAGAGAAGGAGGAAGTTAGAGGAAAAAATGTAGGAGTGAATGAGTTGGAAACTGAGTCTGGATTTGATGATGTGAGAGATGTGCCTGTTGCTGAAACAAATGTAGAAGCACGTGAGGAGGACCCAAAGTTAGGGGAGGAGGTTAGAGGCAAAAATGTAGGAGGGAAGGACTTTGAAAAGGAAGCTGGATCTGAGAATGATATAGATGAGCATGAAAATGAAAAAAATGGTCAAGGAGAGTGTTGAAAAATAAATAATATTAGAGGAGGAGCACCCCGACGTGGAGAAAGGGATAGCTGATTTTGTGACGCCTGAAAAGTATGATGTGGATACAAATGAATCCACGCAAAGTATGTAAAATAAATTCAAAGTTCAGTTTTACATCTTTATATCCAAATGAAACAAATTTTCCACTTCTAATTGTTGTTATTTGCAACATATAGGTGACACTGTAGAAATCGATGAGGCGGGATGCGATCCATTGAAATAACGAGAGTATCATCGGAAGAGAAAAGCGCGCTTATTGTGTTCTCCGTACACGGTCCCGACGAAGAGGAGAAAGTTGTTAGAAATCAATGTATATGATCCTTATTGAGAAGTAGATCCCCGTCAAGGTTGAGGCTTTTTGCAAATGGATGGAAACTATATCTTCATGGTAAATTATTACATATAATTGTAAGTACATGTGAAAGTAATGACAGTATTATCTAAATATAACATCGTGTTGATTTTTTTGTATGCACAGCCAAATTATACCTCTGCGCTTTTATGATATTCAAGCGAAAAGTTTGATGGATCTTTTGAATGAGGATGGTTGGATTAATGACAGTGTAAGTAATCCAACTTTAATGATTTTACGATAATGTCACAAAAGAATTCAGTTTGAATTGATTAGTTTATTTTTGTAGATTATGAACTAAGTCCTATACCAGATACGAGAAAGGGCTTCCAAATTTCTCAATCTGTTCCGGCAAGACTGTTGCATATTGGACACTTATTTCTATCAATTTGTTGTTAATGCATATGGCCAGTTACAGTCTAGTAAAGAGCTCAAATGTAGTAAGAGTCTAATTAATTATGTGAGAGGGGCTGCTCCGGAGCTCGGTAAATCTTGGAAGGACTGTAGATATTTGTATTTTTCTTGTTGAACCGCAACCATTGGTTTGCAGTTCAAGTTGACATGGAGGAACGAGCCATTTTTATGTTTGATAGTCTGAAGGGTCACATTCGTCATGCAGCGTTGGAAGCTTACTTTTTGCCTCTACAGGTGGTTATTCAATTGATAATAAAATCTCATGTCACCGATAAAAGAAAATATAGTACGAAAAACTTCAAATTTGTGAATGTGAAAGATATTCCCCAACAAGTGAATGGGTAAGAATGACTAATTTCATAATTAGTAGTACCATATTATCTTGAGTGTTGAAAATTAATCCAAAAATTTTACAACTTTTTTGTAGATCCGATTACGGAATATTTCCTATCAAATACATCAAATTTCTGCAAGTGAATATGAACGTAAATATAATTGAATGTTGTTCCAGTTTGAAAATTGCACAGATTAACATAACGAGTTATAACTCATTCTTGATATACAAAATGATATGCATATTGTTTCAATGTTAAATACACACGCTTCTCTAAATTGCATAACGACGTAGAAGTCGTTATGACCACACATAACGACTTCGAAGTCATTTCAGTTAAAATTGATACTAAAATGAGTTATAATTCGTTCTTGAGACACAAAACGACATACATATTATTTCAATGTTAAATACACACTGCTTTTCTGAATTGCAAACAACCCTTAGAACTCGTTATGACCACACATAATGACTTCGAAGTCGATTCAGTTAAAATTGATACTAAAACGATTTAGAACTTGTTCCTGAGACACAAAATGACATGCATATCGTTTCAATATTAAATACACACTACTTCTCTGATTTGCGTAACGATTAAAAACTCGTTATGACCACAGATAACGACT